TATTGCCATACTGACCACCTCTACTGTACTGTACTGGAGAGCTGAATGCCTTCCTCTGCTAAGCTGAAACTGTATTCATGTATTTAAAGAGATATTCACATAAGGCATGTGTAGTTTAGAATATTAAAAAATATTTATTTAGCTTTTAACCATGTGTAACAGAGACAACTTAAAAGCCGTTTTAAGTGTGGGGGGGGCTAGAATTATAATTAGTGTATAATTGATATATCATGCAAAATGATTTGCCTTTTTTACATTTGATTTTTTTTGGCTACTTTACATTTAATGAGGCTTTGCAAAACATGTGCGACATATATGCAAATATATGCAAAACATTATGTAAACAGACCGGCTGCGACCAGTCCCCTTGTTATGTGGCACAGTAACCGATCTATCATGCCTATAGGTACATGGTGAGACGGAAGTTAAAGTGGGAGATACCAACGTTTATCAAAATGTCATTATTATTTTAGATCATTTTTTTTTCCATTTACAAAACAACATTAGGCTACTTTGAGGCTCACATCTGGCCTATATCTCTGTATAGACTTTCTCTCTTTGTCACTCAATCTGCATGCGTTTTAGCGACATGCCACCAAAGGGGCAATGTAATAAAAATGTAGCATTACACAGTGCAGCTACTGCAGCTTCAAAAATAATTACAAAAATACAAACTCCGCTCTAAAACAAGCACACATGGATCTTTATTACACAAATTATTCTAAAGTTTGGAATGCTGGAATAATAATCAGTTTGAAATAAAAATCAGTTTAGCGATTCTGAAATCTGCTTCCTGACGTGTAACACTGAACCACAGAAAAAAGTGGGGACACAATCAGCTCTCATTAACTCAAAGTCACATCTGAGCAGAGCTGTATATGGAAATGAATAAATTAACTTAGCAATCAGGTATGAAATGATCTCTCGTGCTACCTGTATAATAATATTAAACTTTTCTTACTTTTCATTATAACCATATAAAATATTTTCTTTTTTAGGGCAAAAATGGTTAAATTGCACATTCCTACTCTCCAGCCTCCCAGCAGTCAGTAGGTACTAGTCTACGTGATGTGTCTGTTTGTATTTATCTTATCGGTCAAGCTGGAAACACTCTCGGCACGCTAATCTGGCCAGTGATGTCGGCCAATATGGAAACCTTTGGATCTCAGGATACAGTTAGAAAACGATCCTTGTCTGAAAATGTCTGTTTGGGGTCACCGCAGTAAATAAATCAAAGAAAAAAGTGAAACAAACACTCATTTCCAAAACTGTTCAGCTACAGAGAAAATGAGACTCCTAACAACCACCTGGAAGACCTGGTAGACACCAAAACTGCCCCCATCAGATAAACAGCACTTAAAGCTTTCATCTCTGAGAGAGAGGAGAAAATCAAGCTGCTTCAGATCTGAAAACATCCACAGGTGTTTCTGTCCATCCTTCCACTGTGAGAAGACGACTCAGCGCTGTGGGTCTGAAAGGATGTGTAGCTGATCAAGAAGAACCTCACTGAGAAAAGGAGACGGACACATCAAACAAAGAAGCTGAACGATGGACTGACCACTCCAGAGTCCAGACCTCAACACCACTGAATCTGTTTGATTACTTCAGAAAATCATCAACCAGCTTCTAAGACTGAACTTTGGAGGTGTGTCTGCAGAAGAGAATATATTTATATTTATTATTAATTGTATTTAGTTGTTGAGGCTTCTGTGAAATTTTCAGTCAAAAATGTGTTCGGTTTTTTTTCCTCACGCTGGAAAATAAAAAAATGTACATAACAGCTGTCTGTTTTTGCAGCTTAGTTTGCAGCCAGTTTTTTGTTTGTTAAAGTTTCAAAATGGAACATTCAATGTTTAAACATTACGTAAAACTTATTTAAAAAAAAGTAAGCAATATTCAGTTTTCCATGATATGGGCCCTTTATTATGATACTGACAAGAACTGCTTCCACCGCGCAGCTGGCATTTTCTAACCCAACATCACACACACACACACACACACACACACAGCATTTTTTTCAAGAGGGGTAATTATTGTTATGGAGCGGTAAGCCATGCTTCAAAGCTTTCTCAAATCAGCCACTATCAGAGAAGTGTTTCCAGCCTGAGTGACGGACACAATCACCCACAACACAGCAGAAAAACAAACTTGGAGGAAAAATGCAAGCACAGTCATCTGCTACCCATTTACAGCAGAGCGGCTGTACCAGGCCCTTCAAAAAACAAACAGCCATCCGCTGGCTGCTCCTGCTGGGGATCGGAACATGCCGGAATGACCTTGCGGCCACAGGGAGGCTGGACTGTGGGCATTCCGTACACACAGGGAATCTTGGGAGTCCAGATAACACACAGACACATCTGGGTTTCCCAGTGAAAGATATTTAAATGAGGTGCTAAATGCTTCAGCGAGGGGCAGAGTCCCTGTTTCAATGACCCGGTCAGGAAATGACATAAATGATAAAGAACACATTGATCCTAAAGATCATCTCAACAGTGAACACACTGATTCTACACTCCTAAAAATAAAAAATAAATACAATCCCCAGCATGCACTGCAACATAATGTGCGCTTCAACCACTCTCCCCCCAAAAATGACCTATGAGACAGCAGTTACATCTCAAAAAGAAAAGATGCCAGGTTCAAGCAAATACGCAAAGTGTAGCAAAAAACATTGTGTGTGTGTGTGTGTGTGTATATGGCCACATACATACATTATATATATACATACATACATACATACATATACATATATATATATATATACATATATATATAATATATATATATATATATATATATATATATATATATAATATATATATACACACACACACATACATACACACACACACACACACACGAGAAGGAAAAAACCTGCTCTACTTTTAATGTAAGTCAATGGAACCAGACTTTTTTCCAAGTCATTTTGGGCCATTTCTTTTGGTCCATTCATCGTGAAATTTACACACAATGTAAAGAACAACAGGTGCTTTCAAATTCTGTCAAAAACTGAAAAGCGACAAAAATGGAGATACAAGGTTTTCTTCCGACAGCAGTGAGGACAGTACTTGCTGGAGACCTATAGATAAAACAAACAGCAGCAAACTAACAAAGCAAAAGCAGACTGGAAAGCTACAGTTACACATTTTACTCTCATCATTCTTATTCTAATTTTGGAACATTTCTATTGGCCCATTAATCCTTAAATGCTCACACAATGTAAAGGAGAGCTGACTAATCTGGACTCTGACTAGAGCTGTTTACAACCTTAATCAAAGACCAATGTTTCTTAATTAAAGTGATTGTGTTTATAATATGCCCCTCCCTAAAAATTCTATGACTGTGCATGTAAGGTGGTAGAACCCACCCAGCTCTATGTTACAGAGCAACTAATGTGTGAAAATGCACTCCAGTCAAGCTGAAATCATTCGGCTAAATCTGCTGTTTATGTGAATGTCATTCTTTGCATTCTATCGTTAGCCTTGGCCTACAAACACGAGCGTGCACTGTGACCACATGACCACCCCGTGTAGAGCCCAACATCTGAAATAAGATTATATAAGAACAGGCAATAAAGAGAGAGAGAGAGAGAGAGAGAGAGAGAGAGAGAGAGAGAGAGAGAGAGAGAGAGAGAGGAAAAAAAAAAGAGAGGTCACATAAAGAATAGAGAGAAACGAAGAGAGATGGAAAGAGAGGGAGAGAGAGAGCAAAGGAGAGAGGAAAAAGAGTGAGAGGAGGGAGGGAGAGAGGGAGGGAGAGAGAGAGGAAAGCCCATTGGGACAGAGGCACACTTTTACTTGTGAATAAAACAGCACATGCAGTAAACCCCCCTTCGTCCCCATCCCCACCCTCCCCCCCGGACCCGAGCAGCTGACTGAGACCCGTGAGCGCTTCTCTCGGATCATGCCGTTAAATTTGAGTCGCTGGCACTGGGCATCACCGTGCGGGGGCCAGACAATCTGGAGACAGGCAGAGTATTTCTGACACTCTGTATTTATAGGCCTGCTGAGGGCCTCTTGGCCGGGCAGCTATAATTAGCCCAAAGGTAAATAGTTAAATGGATTACCCCAAGTGCTAACAGAATAATAAAAACAGAGACCCCCCAGCTCTTCATCACATGTGTATACAAACACAGACACAAATATGGGGGCTTGTTTCATACGAGCTGGATTTAGCCTTAATTCCGTTTGTTTTGTTTAGAATTTGTCGGCATGTCAGCGTCGATAACGGATTACAGTAATGCAACCTAATACTTCTGAATGTTTGTCCACATGGGTGTGTAAAGTTGTGCGACTCTACTCGCGGTCACTGCAAGACAGGCAAAGTGTAGTTTGTGCTAACCCAGCAAGAGCAACTTCAGGACTGAGCAGGGGGTAAACAGAGAAACCCATACCTCACATGAACAATGACGGTCAATAGGATTATCATACGAACTAAACTTAGCCTAATACTGTACAAATAAACCAGCACACTCATGAAAGATCAGCCAAGTGGAGAAGTTTGTCAGTTACATGACAATATATTGCTTGTTACAGGTTAAGTATGAGTATTTACTATTATAAACAATATGTAATTACCTTAAATATAGGAAAATATCGAATTTACATGTAATAAAAACACCATCTCTAATCTTAATACTCTTAATCTCCACAAATAAGAACCTGCAGAGAGTATCCTAGTTTTGTAAAGGTGACCTTACTTGCCATATAAATTTTCATTGATTTAATCACTAGGAAAAAGTATAGCGAGCAACCTTAAACTGTCAACATGTCAACATCCAGTGATGCCCATTTACACTAAAAGCACAAATTAATTTCCTAAACATTCTCTGAACTGGCCTGCCATTGGAGAACTTCATATTCAATTTTCAGATAATCACGGCTCACTTCCCACTCCCCCTCCTTTTCCCAGCAAGCAATAACTGCCTTGTTCATTTCCTTTGCACCTAAACTGTCTAACCTAAACCTGATATTTGCATGCTGCAGGATTAGTATGCTTACTGTGGTGGTTTCCCCCGAGAAAGTGAGAGTCTGGTCCCTTTTGTCAATTGTCCAGGCATCCTTTGGAGAGTCGGGCACTTTTGCACTACTGCCTCGAGACACGTGTATATGCACATGCGCCATTCCATTCATAGAGCCAAGCTGTTTCGTGTTAGACATATGGCATGATATCCCAGCGTTCAAGCAGGGCACCTCCAGGGAAATGCTCCTCTGCAAGCCACGGTGGAAATCTTGCAGCACTGCTGATTTGCCAATGGTTGGACAAGTGTGGTGTCTCTTTTCTGTTGATATCTTCCCTCTGGGCAGCCCACAAGCTGAGGTGCTACGGTACAGCTTTGGATTACGGTTCGCAGGTTTGACGTTGGCTTCCTCTGACTGTTCTGGTGGTTTGGAGCAGTCAACGTTGACCACTGTTCTGTTTCCTTTCCCTGGAGGAAGAGGCGGCTGGTTAGCATAGTGGAGCAGTACGCTGGAGTGCCTTTCGGACGGCTCCGAACTTGTCGAAGGTTCTGCCGGAACGCTAAAATGCAAGATGGGCTTGGCGTCCCTGAACTCTGCAGGAGGACAGCTGCTTTTGGACAGCCGCAGGCCATTCACCGCCGAGGCCACGGAGACCTTGGGCTGCGCCTCATCTTGTGATGCATCAGCTGCGGACAGCTGCAGCTGGTGTGAGGTCTGAAAGGACCCTCGGGCAGATGGAGGAAGAGGAGGAATCAGAGGAGATGCCATAGGACTGACGGGCGAGGCTGGTGGAGTGGTGCAAGGACTCCTTGGGAAAATGACCAACGAGGAGCAGCGGCGTAACGGAACTCTTGCTTTACGCCGGCACACGCCCCTGTCGTGGGCCGCCTTCCGTTCCAAGACATCCGACTCAAATATGCTGCTGCTGCTGCAGTAGCCAACATCGCTAGCTGTGCTGCTACTGCACGACCCGCCATCAGAGCTTGCTCCGGCACCACCATCGCAAGCCACAGGGTCCATTTCATCCCCACCACTACCATTGCTCTCAATGTCCCCATTTTGCTTGCTACCAGGTTGCAAGGAAATCTGCAGGGTGCTCTTCTTGCTCCCCCCGCCGCTGTTCACCTTGGGTACAAATACAGTAGTGTGCCGCTGTAAACTACCATAATCTGGAGCCAGAGGTGGCAGAGCCAGAGCCAGCTGCCCTGGAGTCACCTTCATGTGGAACGAGTTGAGGATAAACGGGCCATCCGCGGGACTCCGGGCAGGTATCCCCAGCCCGTCCTCCGTGCCATGGCTCAGGGTTTCGGATAGAGGGTCAGTGTTGCTTCTCCTTGTGGCGAAATGGAGGCGCAGACGTCGCGCCATTCAGTCTAACTCTCTAATCCTGAGTGGAATTGAGGGGAAAAGCAATGCATGGCAAGAAAATCCCTTTGCCACTCATGGAAAAAAGAGACAAGAGAAGTGGAAGAAGAAATAGAAGAACGGCAAACCAACTGGTCCGGGTCCCACGCCGTGATTACAATCGTTAGCGCCTGCACATATCCAAAATAGCTCCAGTGACAAGTTGCATTCCTCTCGAGGTTCCACTGACACTAATGGCCACTGCAGGTCAAATGTGCTGAGAAGAGAAGCCGCTAGCCTATAGCACACCAGCCTGTGACGACTAACACCCTGGTGGTCTTTCTCTTTAAGGAGCTGGAGCACACTCTGGCTTTGAGTTTCTCAGAGGCAACCGCTATGGGCAGGCAGAAACCCCCACCACGTTCCCCTCCTTTATGCAAAACACACACCACAGGCAGACCTCAGCTGCCTTAACTGCACCTTCTGCAATTTTGCAAGAACGGATCCAGAGTCCGGGGCCTTGCCCCCACCCCCTTTCTGAAAAGCCAGCTTCTGGTCACCCCGCTGCAAAAACAACAAACCTCTGTGCCTGACGGACTGGAGAGCACTGGGACTGACTGCCTGCTGTTGAGTCTAAGCCAGTCGTGGCTCAGCCACCGCATTCAGCACTGGTGGCTTCCCCCAGAGCTGCTAATATTTTCACCCCCGCTGGGATAGGATTACAGGAAATCAAGAGGAATGGTTTTTGAGCATAAGTCTTTATCAAACTGAAGATCAGGTTTCCTAACAGACTCCATCCTCAAGCCACCAGGGTTGTGGAAATATTTGGGAAGCCGCTGCTAGGTTTCTGTGTACCGCTAAAAAATTACTAAGCTCACAAACTGAATGCCTGACTCTGTACAGTGGCTTGAAAGCTATGCACAGAAGGAAAGGACAAAAAAAACTGAAAACAAAATCAACCAAAAAAAAAAGAGAAGCAGAAAATCGCACTACTCTTGGAAAATGAAAAAGATCTTTCCCTAAATTTCTCTAGACGCTTGAATATCTCCTCACGAAATCTGTTACTTCAGTAAGCTGAAGTCCTTTAAGAGTGCCTGGACAGCCCCTTTGCCTAAATGGATAAGAGCCACCTCACTTGTCATTTGAGCTGTGCTGTTGCAGTCAGTGATGGCCTTAAAGCCTGTCCTTCTGTCAATGCCATTCCACCCCATCAATCAGAAACAATCGCACGAGGCGGAGTTATTCCAGACCACCAGGGTCAGTAAACAGTCCCTCCACATATTAAAATTTGAAATGGAGAGATATGGAACACAGTGGGGGGCACTCATTAATAGCTCTTATGAATGATGGAGTCTTTCAGAAGGTGCCTCACACTGTTGCTCTGTTATGCAAAGCTTCAGCTGTCAAAAGTATTTAGCTGGCTAAATATTATTTCACAGATGGATGTCGACTACATCCCACTAACTAAGTGTGGTTCTCATAATCTCATAAATATATTGGTTACTTCTCATTTTGAGATTATTTTAAGAATATTATAACATTATTCAACTTATTTCGACATGTTTGTTGCCTATTTTAATTGAGATGAAGTGTCTTATTCTGTTGGCAAATAATTTAGTTTCACTAGATGAGATTACTTAAGCAAAAAATATCTAGAACTAAGTTTAATAATCGTATTATATTCCGAACAAGATGTCTGGGTTGCTCAGAAGAGTCAACAAAAAGCAACAAAGGTCCGACAAACTTTCTATGTAGTAAATAAAGCATGTTTTTGGCTCTAATCTCACAATAATTTGTACAACAAGAAGTTGCCTTTACTAAAAGTTATCATGGAGTTATATTGACTAAATTTAAGATGATTCCAGGTGCCAATGTCTCATTTTTGTAGTGTGCAAAGTCAGCCTAATTTACTTACAAATTAGAGACATGATGATATCGGAATCATCTTGGTATCTGTAGATATTAGCTCAAAAAAAAACAAAAAAACATCAGCATTGGACATCTTCAAATAACATTTTACTGCATTTATAACCGTCTACATTTCATAAATGTATCCCAGCATTGGGAGATTTGTACATAAAATATGATGGATGTTAGCATCGGCCCAGAATGCTCATACCAGTGCATCAGTAATGTGAATAGCATCAATAGACTGATCTAATCTAGATAAACCGATTAACACTCAGGTTTTATACATTTAAAAACGTGACACATCATTCTTTCCCACTAGCATCGATCTACATCCCTAAGATTGTAAATACAGCATTTATACACCAAAAATATGGCAAACGTTTCCAGTTTTACAGCAGAAGTTCCTATTATACACACTAAAGGACTGACTGAAAAGTTGTTTAGGTAACTTTTACTATTGTCAATATCATACTTGTTTATCTGGTAACAGGTGTGACCTAGCCTACTTATCTCTCCATCTCCGTCCCACATATGCACACTTATCAAAGAGTGCTGTTGACTCCGAAATGGAACACTAGTCCCATTATGCGGGAGTCTGTTTAACCTTCGCTGTGATTTACAGGAGAAGCTGTCCACGTGTGATTTAAGGAAAAGCCCAACTCAGTAACACGCCACCAACTTTTATGGCGATTACTTTCACCGTTTTATGCCACCCCTGGGTATATTTAATTTCCAGTACCTGTGTTTTATAGCAACCGCTTGCAAAAAAGGCATCGTTGTCCATTCACTACAAATTAAGGTCCAGGTAGATGCTTACCATTTAGGCCCAGACCCAAAGTTAACAATATATATTGGCTTTGGAGCTTTGCTGCAAGGGATCAGTTTTATTAGACTTTTCAATTTATGAGTGCTGATCTAGGACCAGTTTGTGCCTTCCATTTAAAAAGGCTTGTGCTTATATGATCCGGGAGGAACTGATGCCAGATCATTTCTCTAACCTGACAAATACTGGCCAAAGTATTATGTTTTATTACTGCTGATTAAGACCTAACCAGATCTTCACCGTCTCAAACAAATGGGGATTCAGCATAAGAGGGGCATTCATCAAGACTCAGCAAGCTTGCCAACTTACTTTCATTGCTCAACTCTTCTTAATTTAATCTAATACAAAAAGCATTAAAGCAGTTATATTTCTCACACCAAACCAGGCCAAGCTCACAGCATAAACACTTACCAAACGATTCTCGTCAAAAACTTCTAAAAGCAGGCGATGCTTCCTCGGATGAACCTAAGAGAAAGCAGAGAGAAATCATTTCTCAACATACTGCTCGGACGTCAAAGCTGCATATGACAAAACATGAGTAATTATGCTATTTTATAAAGGTAAATACAGGACTTTAGAGCAGCCTGACTGGCTGTTAAGAAGTCTGAGACACTGCAAAGATCAAAGACATCACACATACAAGAACCCACTGCTATGTATATATATTTCATCATTTCTTCTAGTAGTGGGCCAAAATTCTCTCAGGTCTGAGTTTCATCAGATCCATTTTATTGGTATATTGCAAATCAGAGCAGATAACACGACATACAAACAGAGCAAACCCCGCTAGTATACAGGACACACGTATAAAACAAATGACTTGAGAAATTCCACAAGGCTGAAGCTTCAAATTTCCTGTTCCACCTCAAACGGTGCAGCAGTTACATCATTCAGTTGCCTGTAGAGGTGCTAGAATCAGAATCAGAATCTTTGTTTATCAAGTACCAGATGTGCAAGGAATTTCTCTCAGTAAAGGTGTCAACATAAAATTAAATCCAATAGAATTAATAGAGAAATATAACTTAGATAAATATAAATATAAACATAAAACAGACCATATACAATCTGTAAGTAAAATGATGTGCAACAGAAGTACAGCTACAATCAAGCACTGTAGTACTATATACCTATATACAGTACGTACAGCTAAAAGACTTTAGAATGTAACTGCTAAAAGTGAAAGCCAGCTTCAACCTTGTTCAAATTCACATGTGACTCAACATTTGGCACCACTCTTTCCAAAAAGCAATACTGACATATATCTATGTTTGTTCACTTTTGTTTTAACCATTTTGCAAATATTTCGATATTTCAAAACATTTTAACAATCAAAATATTACTTTGGTGGTTAAAATGTCTCTTATTAAGAAATGAAGCGACATCCCAGAATAACAAGCTGCTGTTAACCTACAAAAATATTATACACACACAAAATAAAGCTATTACGCTTTTAAATATATATTATGCTTTTATATAAAATATAATACAACTACATCCAAAATAACGCAACAAATTATCTACGAGGTGATCAAAGCCTCCAAGAAAACTAAACTTTTAAAGCTGTGATGCTGAAAACTTCACAAACTTTTTAACTGCAGAGGTACACAGGTAAAACATCGACAGTTGCGGCTGACTTAACGGGGAATTCAACAGACTTCTAAAAATGTAAGCATTATTAAATCATTAAGACAAACATAGTCCTTCAGAGTGGTTTGATGTGAAACGCTCCAATCTAGAGAAGCTCACAGAGTCAGAACTGGTGCGCTGGTAGACATTGTGTCTAGGCGTCCATAAAGGTCACAAATGAGATCAGAGTTTAGAGAAAGAAAGAGAGACAGAGGGTGAGAGACAAAGAGAGAAAGTAGAGAGAGAGAGAGAAAGGCTTGGATTAGAAGACACTAAAACGTGAGCTGTGGATAAACGAAGCAGTCGGGGGTCCGGTCTCTGGTTTCGCTCTGGAGGGAGACTTCACCCTCAGCTGATCCGTGTGTATGTGTGTACTGTAAATGGACAGTGACTCATAAGAGCGCTCTCCTGTTAAGGCCACTGGCGGCCGGTGCTGAGTCTGTTTTAGCTCTGTAGCGGCAGTGTCAGACTTTACTCTGCTCCAACATGCCCGGAATGACCAGATAAAGAGCTGAAGAGAGGAATCAGATGTTGAACAACAGGAGCGACTCTCTTATGGGCATGGGTTTATAACTAAAATAACACTATGTGAGTTTATGAGTGGAGCAAAATATTTATTATTGTCACTTTGCTGTATGTTCAATTTACACTACACAAACTACCACTGTTACTGAACTCTAGGGCTACACGATTTGGGGAAAAATATCTAATTGTGATTCTTCTGACTAATATTGCGACTGCGATTTGAACTGCGATTATATTCTATAAATTGAGGTTTAGGCCAATGATTGTGATTTCGATATAAAAACAATTAATCTTTCATTTCTTCTTAACTAACAGATTATGCTAGTTATTTAATGTTTATTACATATTAAATGAATCTGCACTACGTAAGATCTGGGAATTTGGAGACCTCTCTGGTGGAAATGTGTAATTGCACGCAATGTGCGGAAGAACATTCTGTAACGTGGGTTGTGCTTCGGACCAATTCCCTGAGCGGATGAATCTAATTGCGAGCACGTTGAAAGGGAATTCAATGATAACTCAGTCAAAACTTAATGAAGGGCGTGTTTTTGGAGGATAAGAGTGAATTATCTATTATCGTCACCATATCTTCATTAGTTTCATGTTGATTTAGCATTAGAGACCTAAACGTCTTCTTTTTGAGACTGTGCGTGTCATTAATACGTTTACATGTACGACACAGTCTAAAACACTCCTGCCAAATCAGACCCAAGCTAACATAGCTGATGGTAAGCTAGCCAACTCACCCACCACAAACAGAAGAATCTCCGAAATAAAGATAATAATAAAGTCTTGCGACTGACTGCAGCCTCTCTTTCATGTGTTGGTTTATATCCAGTGGGGAAGAAACGTTAAAAGGTTTAGCAGCACAAAATTAGCTTTTACTCAGTTTTAGAGGTTCAGTGTTATGAAGCCCCGCCCCTTCAGAGGTCAACACAGCCAAAGCAGCAGCACTATTGGTCGAAGGCGCAAATACACACGTCAAAGTTCACCAACATTGAATCTGACACAAAACGAAGCATGTGCAAACACTCATCACAGCCAATTCCACTGAAATGAATCATTTCACTGACAAAAGCAAGTGTAGCTGGATCTTTACATTCGATTTATATTCTGTATCGACAGGTACCGCCTACATGTCCTACACATTCTGGCAGTACATACAACAACTTTTCATCAAATACAACTTATGATAATGTCAGCTCTTCTGCTTACAAACACAAATGTGGTGCTTGAGAATCTCCACATGCTCCAACAAGTTTTGAGCCAATTAAACAATTAACATAAAATATGAAGAGGTGTTTCAGGTTGTACACACCAGGCAAGACTCTAAATAGAGCTCTGGAGATTCTGGACTAGAATCTGAGTATTCTTCCTGAAAGTCACTGTGCGTCTCTTTAGAGCATCACTCAGCATCGTGAATAATGTAAGAGAGTACAGTGCTGAGCTCGGGTATTATTGCTCTGGTGACATGCTGAACTTGCACAAAGTGAAGAGATATACTATTACCTTTCTTTCACAGTTTAAAATGACCCTTCAACAAATCTGTGACCCTTTAAAGTTGTACACAAGCGCATTGTTATGGCACAAGGCATGAAGCTGAGCTGTGACAGCTTTGCTTCACACCTAGAAAGAAAAAGACAGCTGGCTACTTGCATTATTGCACTATTGATTAATTGATATTTCAACAAGCATCTAAAGCAAACCTTTCATGATGAAACAAGAGTATTAACTACTTTAACTGCAGGCTTATTATTCAGTTATTAATCTTAAAGTTTATTTTTCAGTACTTGAAATTATCCAGTAACTGCTAGAAATTATTTAGTAACTACTATGAATTACTCAGTATCTACGACAGCCTAAGTGTCTATTATAAATTATCCAGTAACTTCTATGAATTAATTAGTTACCACTTTGTATTATTCAATATCTACAATAAATAATTAAGTAACTATCAGGAATTATTTAGTAACTACTATGAATTATGCTGTAACTACTATGAATTATTCAGTATCTTGTGCAAATTATTCAATAATCATGAATAATTGGTCAATAACTATTGTAAACTATTCAGCATCTACTAAGATGTACTCAACAGCTATAATGAATTATTTAGTAACTGCTAAAAATTGTTCAGTAACTTATACGAATTATTCAGTCTCAACTACGAATTAATCTATAACTACTATGAATTTTTCAATACCTACTATGAAACTAATGTGTAAACGGTGCATTTACACTGCTCCTGCTTCAGACCGTACCTCCCCCCCTTCATTTGGCCACATGTGGATATTTGGAGGGAGCTCCACGCAAAATCCAATTTAAATGTAGTCTTGCTAAGCTGGTATTTATGTAGATAAGGCAATGAATTAGCGGAAAGTCAATTTAGTATGCATCACTGAACTAATACTTTTAAAATGTTAATAAGGTTACGCTTGGAAAGATTAGGAATTAGTTAGTTGATTACCACTCATGGTCAACATCCGTTATTTCGGTTTATTATCATCCAACCAATCGGTTCCCCCAATTTTGGAGGTTGTGTTTAAATTCAGAACATTTGAAAAGCAGAACTAACGTTTCATATCTCGAGCTGCAGACACCAACCCCGCAAACTACAGCTGCCGGATTAATCTGCGTAATGATCAGCTCTCCTTAACTTTTCCTGTGCATCCCCTAAACTCGATGCACAGGACCCATCATGCACCGCACAGCCACGTCTGATGGAACCAATGCTTCTCATAGAAAACGAACGGGATACATTGTGGTGCCCTGGTGTTTTGGAGCAGTATAAATGCAGCATAAATTCTGACAGGGAGGAACTGAAATCCGAATCCACATACAGATCTTTTCAATTTTCTCATTCTCATTATAATAGTATATAAAGTGTCATATGAGTTTCTAAATTATTTATAGTAGTTACTGAATTATAAGCCCTTTCATTAATAACAATAATAAGCCTGCAGTTTAAGTACGAGAGGCTAAAGTAATAGACACGTCACAGAACATCACATGACCTTTTGGAGAGGAGAGAGAGTGTAAGAGACACCTCTCATCTCCAACCCTCCAAGCAATCGGAGACATCCATGACCTGACCTCTGACCCCCCAGAATGCCTGTCTCTTCTGTTAACTCGCTCTTATAAAGAAACATCCCTCAGTTCATGCTGCTTTTACCTGAACAGAGAGCGCTCTGTGTGAGAGAGCACAGTAGTAACCCATCATGCACCGCTCTCTGTACCTGTGTGAGGTGTTTTCACAACAACACAAAGCACACAGGGCCTCAATTTCACCTTACAAGGACTGGAAACAGCCCCTCGCTCGCTCTAAATATATCCCCCTGCACGTAAAACACGCTGTCTCAGGAAACGCTGGCAGGAGAACACGTGGAGAAATAAGATACGCCAACTTACGGCAAACAGACGCATTTTGGACTGTTTGTTTCTGTCTAATGCGTTAACTACGAAGTGCTCCATAAGCTAAACCAGGCGTGCCACAGTACTGTGGTCTTCCAAGACTTGAAAGTGATAGTTTGGCAAAAGTTCTGTGATTTTTAGTTTTGCACTGAAGCTACAAGGCCAATGTAGCCAACAAATAATGGAAACTTAAATGTCAACAATTAGCACTGTCCTAGGCGCAGGCCTGAATTACTGCATGGGAGCGGACTTGATGTTTCCATGGTTTTATGTTCCCAAGGTTCCATATTCCCAATGGTTTTACATCCTAAAGCCATATGTAGGCAGGGTCCTATGTTTCCAGGGTTCTATGTTACCAGGTTCTGTGTTCCCAAGATTCTTTGTTACTGGGGTTCTGTATTCACAGGGTTCTATGTTACCCGGGTTTCTGTGTTCTCAGGGCCCTATGTTCCCAGGGTTCTTTGTTACCGGGTTCTGTGTTCCCAGGGCCCTATGTTCCCAGGGTTCTTTGTTACCGGGTTCTGTGTTTCCAGGGCCCTATCTTGCTAAAGCCATATGTCGGCAGGGTCCTCTGTTCCCAGGGTTCTGTGTCCCCAGGGCCCTATGTTCCTAGGGCTTTATTTTCCAAGGGCCCTTTGCTACAAAAACCCTATATAAGCAGGGTCCAACATTCTCAGGTTTCCATGCTTCCAGGGTTCTATGTTACCAAAGTTCTGTGTTCCCAGTGCCCTATGTTCCTAAAACTGCATGTAGGCAGGGTCATATAATCCCAGGGGTCTGTGTTTCCAGGGCCCTATCTTCCTAAAGCCATATGTAGGCTAGGGTCCTATATTCTCAGGGTCCTATGTTCCCAGGGTTCTGTGTTCCCAGGGCTTTATTTTCCAAAGACCCTATGTTCCTAAAACCCTATATGAGCAGTGTCATACGTTCTCAGGGTTCTATGATCCCAGGGCCCTATGTTCCCAGGGTTCTATGTTACCCGGGTTTCTGTGTTCCCAGGGCCCTATGCTCCTAAAGCTGCATGTAGGCAGGGTCCTATATTCCCAGGGTTCTGTGTTTCCAGGGCCCTATCTTCCTAAAGCCATATGTAGGCAGGGTCCTATGTTCTCAGCGTTCTATGCTCCCAAGGCCCTATGTTTCCAGGGTTCTATGTTGCTGGGTTCTGTTTTCCCAGGGCACCTATGTTCCTAAAGCTGTATGTAGGCAGGGTCCTATGTTCTCAGCGTTCTATGCTCCCAAGGCCCTATGTTTCCAGGGTTCTATGTTGCTGGGTTCTATTTTCCCAGGGCACCTATGTTCCTAAAGCTGTATGTAGGCAGGGTCCTATGTTCCCAGGGCTTTATTTTCACAGGGCCCTATGTTCTTAAATCTCTATACAGGTAGGGTCCTATGTTCTCAAGGTTCTAAGCTCCCAGCGTCCCATTTCACATCAAACCACTGTGAATTAATTACTTTGTTTACATCTTAACAACTGAATTATACTATTATTTATGTAATGTAAAAAATCTGTAGAATTCCCCTGTAAGTAATATCCAATAGACCTGATTTGTTTCTGACACTGACACTAGCTCCAGTGCAAAACTAAAGAAGCAAACCATACGTGTCACAAACACGTCTTGGCTGACTAGTTACATTTAAAGTCAAGGGGGAACTACAGCTTGGTCACCCCTGCAGGCAGTGTTCTCACAGCGCACTAAATGGGCATCAAATCACGCAGCCAAAGTTTCTGATTCAGCTGAAATCAGAGCAGGACAAACAAACAGACTCTTCACACTGTGACCCACCATCGCCTGCTCAGTGGGGTAGGCCAGCATAAAGTCAGTCAAAGCTGTACATCCACCAACACGCCCCCTGCAGTCTATGAATAGCTACAGTGCGACAATTACAGTCTAGTGCACTTCTTAACCAAAGGCTGCAGGAGCATTTCTGGAGCTAAGGACGTTCAAAAAATTGTACTAAGGCAGCAAAAGTTCCACATAAGTAAACACGGTTAAAATGTAAACAAAGTCATTCAGAGTGGTTTGGTGTAAAATACTCTGTTGTAGAGAGACCTAGAGTCAGAATTGTTTACAGTGGTGGTGATGGGAACCAAACGTCAGAAGTCTCTACAAGTTTCCTCACATAACGTTATAGCATAAAATTGTTTAAGAAAACACTTTCAAAGACATTGTTTACAATAGTTTTGAAATGATTTTGGTCTAACGTTTTGTTTTTTAAAAGACAGGTACATGCAGCGCGTGGTGAGGCAAAATAGTCCCCAACAAAAACGTATTATTTTCAGATAATTTCAGATATTTTACCGTCATCAACATTCCATATAAAACTCAGAAGACATGTGTAAGTTCACTTGTGGTTTTAGATTGTAAATAAAATGGCTATATTTGTAAGCATGGTGACCCCTGGTTCCTATCAGCACCACTGTAAACAATTCCTGTAAAGAGGAAAAATCAGTAGAATTCCTCTTTAATTGTGACAAAATACAAAATATTATGCAGTTTTCAGTTTCTGCAGATTAGTAAGTGATCTAAATTTACATCCTGCAATTTCATCATTGAGACCCATTTAAACGGTGAAATTAAATGTTCCTCTCTACCTCCCTCTATATGCAGACACATCACTCACTGTGGATACAGGTAATAAAACATTACAGCGAGGTAATAAAACATTTCAGTCATTACACTCTGATATTATTTGCTATAACTTAAGTGACACCCTGGAGAAAATCCAAACAAAATGACCACAGAGAGCGACTCAGTCCAGTGAGCCGAAGCTCATTAAAACACCTCAGTGCAGCTCGGAGTTTAACATTTAACTAAACCTTATTTGCTTTGTTGTCTGTGTGTGTGTGTGTGTGTGTGTGTGTCTGTGTGTGTGTGTGTGCAGAAGATAAGAGGACGAAGGTAAACCACATGCAAAACGAATAAAAAGCTTTCAGAGATTAGAATCGTTGCAATGCTGTGGTTTTCCCCTTTGGGCTATGTTAACATCAATTGGCACAGATCTGATTTTTAAGCATGAAATGCTGCTGTGTGAACACAGAAATTGGAATGTTTGCATATCAGACTTTAGACATCTTCACCTTACTGTGCATTTGTATATCACTGCCGTCATCATACAGTATGGGCAGCAGGTCAGCAGTGGCTGTGCATATATGAAGGTCCTTTCATGGCACAGGCATGTTCACACTAACGACAAATGTCCTTTACATGAATGTGAACTATAAGTAAGACAGATCAGCTCTGAGTAAAAACACAAAAAAAAAACAGAATTGAGGAATTCAGTGCTGTATGGGATGCAATCTGGACCTGAGTGCTGGCTGGCGATCTGTTCTAATATTCTGGTTTGGACAGCTTGTTAAAACTGACTTCAGGTCAGCTGTTAGGAAAGATTAACAGTCTGTGTTATCAGATACTGATGTGGGAGACTTCCACAGAAATGCATTTGTAAGATGAAGATCATCACTTACTCTGAAAAAGAACTCCTCGTTCCACTTCGGATCCAAAGTCTAAAGGAAAATAAAGATGAAGAAATGATTATACAAACATAAGCAGGAAAGAACGTTATGTCTTAGTGTGGGAAGGTTTAGGTACAGACGTCACTCACCTTTTTGATGGTTTTTGTTTGCAGGCTGGTCAGTTCTCCGTTGACAGGATCATAGAGAGACAGCCTTGTATATGGGTCACTGTAAAACAACAACAACAACAACAACAACAACATTACAAATAATACATACATACATAACAAATGCAACAGTCAGAGAGTACTCCTCACTTATTTAATCCAGTCAAAACAGCCTTTAAGTACAATGTATTTTTAAGCACCAGGAAAGAGGCAAAAACATATTTAACAGAAAATTAAAGTAAACTTCAATGACAATTTTAAAAATATATATATTTTTAGTGTTTAGTGTGTTCATGCTTTGTTTTAATTACAGCTTCCATTCTTTTTAGAAGGCTTACTTTCACTTTTTCAAAGAAATCTGCAGCCATACATCCAAAGTTCAGTCTTAGAAGTTGCACAATCCATGAATAACAAATTTATTCACAAATTATTATATTTATCTCAGATCTTTTTGGTGGTTTGGTGTTGCAGTTTCTAACAAAGTTTCTTTTTGCTGTCTATTTCCTTTTCTTGACAGCTACACCTTTCAGACAGCTTTGGTGGTCTACCAGGTCTCGCAGGTGGTTATTAGGAGTTAAATTTTCTCTGTAGCTTTTAATAAATTTTTAACTCTAGTTTTGGAAACTCCTGTTTTTTTCCTTTGACTTTCTTCTTCCTTGTGTAAGTAGATTACCTGATAAATACACCTTCTAATTTCCTCAGAAAATGGCCGCTGAATAATGAATAAGTTGTACTTAATGGTCGTTTTGACCGGTCTCTGCACAGTACTGTACATGCATACAAACTACTACAACTGCTACTAATAATAAACAAAACACTATAAATGAACCAGCACAACACAGTACATTCCTAAAACTTGAGTCACACAGGAAATCTACACGTATTTAGAAACAATTGGAGGCGTTAGCTACATCCTCCCAGAGTCATGTCCTAATTAGATTAGACCCATCAGAAGGACTTCTTAAGTGACTGGACAGACTGTGGTTTCCCAAAAGCATTGTCTGCATTACGATCTTCTAAAGTAATTAAATAAAAGAGATCAAAGTTAGTTAAGATCTGCACACTTTTTAGCCTGGTCATTATTCTGTGGCACACTTTGGAAACTTCTTGTTTACCCTGTTTAGCCCTTATGTGGCTAATCTAGTCTTTCAAGTATAAAGCAAAGAAAACAGATCATGTCCAGGTCTAAACTACTGCCACATACAGAATCGGCAGGTTAAGCATGACTGAGCGCCTTTATAACAGATACAGCACCACACTACTATTAGAGGGCATTAAATGTAGTATTTCTATATCTGAGTGACGGTTTTGCAAACACATGTCCAACTGCAAAATGGGACAGAACAGGTACGGTTAAGAAATTCCAGCTTTTTTTCAGATTTTTTACATAATTCATCTGTCAATATGTAATCAGAGTAATTCAGAGTGGTTTGGTATGAAGTGGTTCAGATTTCTTCACAGTGGTGGTGATAGGAACCAGGGGTCACCATGACTACAACACAAATATAGACATTTTATTTGCTATCCAAAACCACCAGTGAACCTACACGAGTCTTCTGAGTTTATATGGAATGTTGTTGATGGTAAAATAAATCTGGAAGTCAGTATATGTCTTTGGGCATATATGTATGTCTATTTTGCCTCATAACACCCTGCAAGCACCTCTCCACCATAAACAGATTTTTGAAAATATGTTTTCACGCCAAAACTTCCTCAACACTATCACAAACAATGCCTCAGGTATCAAGCAGTGAATTCATAACCATTTCATGTAGTAACTTTCTATGAGGGAGCTTTTAGCGGTGGAAGTCTGGTTCCTATCACCACCACCGTGGACAATTCTGACTTGGTAAGCTTCTCTAGAACAGAGCGTTTCACACCAAACCACTCTGAATGACATCTTTTTATTGCGCAAAAAAACTGAAAAATCAGAATTTCCCATTAGATTAAGCAACCCTGACCAGGAGAAGGTAAAACAAAGCTGTGTCAAGCATAACAGGCTGATGTGCAGCAACATTACAGATTCCCAACCTGAACGATCATTAATCAATGCTGAATGTGTAAGAACAGTGACAGTGCAGGCACTGGTGATTGTTTCCATAGACTGCTTCATTACGTTCCTTTTAAAAGACCCAGTTCATGGCCGGAACAATGACTTCTCCAATGTTTTAACGTAAACAGAGGAAAGAAAGCACACCGAGAGAATTCGTTAGCAGGGACATTGTGATCAGGCGTGAATACCTCTGCATACCTTGGGCACTTTTATTTAGGTCAAAAGAGAAAAGGAGGCTCGCTCAAGGACAGCAAAGACTATTGATCATGTTGCCATCTACTGGACATGTGGGATACAACCTCAACAATGGAAATGAGAAAGAACAGATGTAGAACACAACTGAAGGTTAAGAGCTTGTTGAAACTGCACAGCATCAAGCAGTATGTAGCCGCCTATGGATCGCACGTACATCTTGCTGACTTATTCAGGGAAGTAAAGCGGCCTCTGGAAGACTGCAGGGTGGCTATGCTGCCACAAGCAATACATACAACAAATACTGCCGTCTTATTTCAACATCTTAAGGTGATCTGACATGTATTAGCACTGTATTAGTAAATGATGTCAGACATGCTACAGAAAATTGGCTATTAAAAACAAATTGGAGTACAAAAGCAGGTATTAAGAATATTTTGGTCGTTTACATATTGCTAAGCAGTCATCTCTGCTGTTAAGCTATTAAAGTGCATCTGAATTAAGCTATAGGCCCATCATACCACATATATTAAATCAAACAGGCTATATCTTACATATATCCTCAACAAACTAGTCTCACTAACAGCAAAGACTCTGCTTCTAGGATATTTTCGCCCAGAGCTGCATAGTGTTTCCCGCTATTTTTGGTCAAATGTGGTTCTCACTCAGAAAATTTCTAGACATTCCTAGAGGTAATGATTACTTCTAACAACTCTTCTTTCTTGGCGAATTCAGATAGACGTATTGCTGTCAGGTTGAACTTGAATGGGTCTTCCATCATGTGTTCTTAGTTTCGGGCTAGGTCAGTGTTGCCAAAACAAATGCAGAGTGCGTTGCTGTGTCGTTGTGATGAGGGCAGCGTTACCGAAAACCATAAACATAAAACACCAGACTGATGAAGAGTACAATAAACGGAGTTCAGTTTCACTCAGAGGCAGAAAAAACAGCAACTACTTGATAAACTGTTTATATTGCAGGGCCTACAGAGTCTAAGCGTAAGGCGATATGCATAATAAGCAGTTTCTATGGATACCAGGTGTGACAAATAAACAACAACTATAGCCTGGACACTTTGGACAACAATGTGTTTTAAAGGACTGACCTGGCACCCAGGATATCCTTCTTGGCCAGCCCAATTCCAGCGATGACTTTTACCCGTAGGATCCTGGCTTCATCCTGTTGAAGACATCAGATAAATAATTAATTAACTAATTAACTAATTAATTTAAAAAGTGGTATTCAAGTCCAATCCAATATAGTATCATAGAAATAACAAAAAAAACAAGCGGAGATATGACCAGGTTTATCAGGCCTAACCAAACAAATCTGAGTGCTGATAAACAAAACAATACGAATAGATGTGACGTCAGCGTTGAGGTGAACCCGTAAACTCGGACAGCACGAGGGGCGTGAGTCACAGTCACGAGACACCGCGGAGGAAAAAGTCAAAGTGAAGAAAGTGATAACCACCTTAACCATGGGAGATGACCGGAAAGGGCCCGCCAAGCCTTTTTATTAGACCAACAATATCAATACATCTTTACACAGGATAAAATAGAGGTTACTAGGCAATAAATGTCAGCTATAAAAAAATAACAATAATAGGACAAATACAGTTCATATTAAACATATAAAGTAACTGGCTGAGGATAAGAGGATACACGAACGGAGCCTTTATTATATTTTACTCATTTTACCTACTAAATGTAACCTCACAGACTGAAAATGACTCAGAAATCTCAGTTTTTTAGTGAATCCACAAAAGAAGAGATGAATTTGATGCACTTAGATGTAGCAGAGAGCACTCAGAGCTGCCCATCCTCCTTAGGACGAAGCTGAAGTCACCTTCTTATTCGAATTTTCTAGTTCCACCTTAAACGGAGCAGCAGTCACATTCTGGCGCCGGCGACACAGTGTAACTGCTGCACCATTTAAGGTGGAACGGGAAAATTCGAACAAGAAGCTGGCGAATACGAAGCCAACTTCAGCCTCGTCCCCTTAGGCCAGCTAACGCCAGCAAATCATCACTATTTCTGTTACATAACCATACAAAGTTAGCAGTTCGTGTCTAAGCAGCTCTATCGACACAATGCGGTCTCGAATCGAGACCAGTGAGCTGGATCATGTTGGCTGGTTGAAGTGCTCTAACTTACCTCTTCAGCATGCAGACCCCGCACCTCAGCCACGGCTGCAGCCATGTTATTATTATTATTCATGGCTTTAATGATCGATAAACAGGCGGCGACGCTGCCAGTAAGCGGTCTTCCTCACCAAACAGAAGAACTGAATCGTGTTAATCTGTGTGGAATTCCTTCGTGTGTGTCCCAATCGAGCTGCTAGATCCTCAAATGCGTCGTAGCATCTGCGCTGGCCATCTTACCGTCTCTTTCCTTCCGCTTACAACACACGCCCACTTACGCATTGCCACGCCCACAAATACGAAACCACGCCCACGAGTGGCTAAAGAGCGATAAGTGGGCGGAACCCTTACACCCCTGAGGAAAAAACACACAATAATATATAAAATTATATAAAATATTGTTTATAAATATTTTTGTAATATACATGTTTTATTATTTAACGTTTAATACTAAATTAAAAATAATAAAATTAGATGATGTAAAAAATTGTATGCATTTCAATCATTCTAACAAACATTATATATTATATAAAATGCATATAATTTGAAAAGCAGGCTGGAATATTTTTAGCTTTTTTTTGCACCCACCACGCAAATAGTACCTGCTCTGTGAGGGTCCATGGGGGTCCTGACCACTGAAGAACAGGGTAAAAGGGGGCTAAGAAAGTATCAGAGAAACAGATGGACTACAGTCTGTAGAACTACAAAGTGCACCTATATAGTAAGTGGAGCTGGTAAAATGGACAATGAGTGAAGAAAGGAGGTGGTCATAATGTTATGCCTAACTGGTGTATATATACAATTATACATGCATTTCTTTCTTGCCTTCATGACTTATTTACTTATTATACAAGATAACAGGCTCCATCCAGAAAGAGACAGTAAATGGCAAAGCATGATTCCTCCACAAAAAAAAGAGTATTATGAACAGATTAAATAAAACTTTCACAAATGGGGCACAAAACTGGATAGCTTTGAGAAATCTGCACATACATGCACACACATATTTACGCATATATGCACCAAGATGTCCACATTCACAGATAATCCTGCTTCATGAAACACATTCACCCCCCTTCCTCAGCTCAGTGAAGTCCAGGCCAAGCCCACTTGTGCCCCCTGTACCCCCTCTGCCCAGACCGCATTTATATGTTTAAAACTACTTAGTTTGAATAATAATCTGAGAAATAATCCAGAGGTTGTACAATGTGTTTTTCTATTGATTGTAAACACTTTTATGATTTTTCATCATCAGATTCATCACCACCACACATGCAGTTTTTCACGTTCCATTTCATGTGACACACAACAGTTTCGTATACACCACTGACCTGATTGCAGTGTCATTTGATGATTACAATGAGGTATTTAAGGAAATAAAGCTTACCAGTGTTATCTTAGAATGAATCATTGACCTTATAACCAGTCATAGCTCAGGGAAAGCCACCACACTGTCTGTGAAATATTATGTATATATATGGCAATCTCTGTTCTAGTTCATCCCAAAGGTGGTGGACGGGGTTGAGGTCGGGGCTGTGTTAGGGTCAGTCAAGATCTTCCACCAAACTCACCCAGCCATGCTTTTATGGGCCTTGCTTTGTGCACTGGGGCTCAGTCATGCTGGAACAGAAAAGGTTCTTCCCCAAACTGTTCCTGCAAAGTTAAAAGCAACTACAGTTGTCCAAAATGTCTTAGTATTCTGAAGCATTAAGGTTTCCCTTCACTGGAACTAAGGGTTCTAGACCAACCCCTGAAAAACAGCCCCATATCATCATCCCTCCTCCACCAAACTCTACAGCTGGCACAGTGCAGTCAGGTAAGTAACGTTCTTCTGGCATTCGCCAAACCCAGACTCGTCCATCAGACTGACAGATAGAGAAGCTGATTCGTCACTCCACAGAAAATGTTTCCACTGCTCCAGAGTTTAGTGGCGGCGCTTTACACCACTCCATCAGATGCTTGGCATTATGCTTGGTGATGTAATTCTTGCGTGCAGCTGCTCGGCCATGGAAACTCATGGCATGAAGCTCCCGACGCAGTTTTTGTGCTGATGTTATGCCAGAGGAATGACCCATTCTCTCACAAATGAGTGGTAAGGCAGACTGCGTGGCTAGGTGCTTGATTTTAAACACCTGTGGCAATGGGACCGAATGGAACACCTCAATTCAATAATTTAGAGGTGTGTCCCAATGTCTGTGTGTATAAGGTCAGATTAAAATGAATATAATAATGGCTGCATTCATGTATCCTCACATCCTCAGCCAGCTACTTTATTTGTTTAACATATACATTATTTGCTTTATTACAGTTACTTATTTATAGCTAGATGATATTTATTCCATAGTAACCTCTCCCCTGGTTAAGGTGCTTATCACTTTCTTCACTTTGACTTTTTCCTCAGTGGTGTCTCGTGACTGTTGCTCACTCCCCTCACAGTGTTTACAGCTTCACCTCAGCGCTAACTATATCTAACTGATTTATCCATCCACAGTTCTGCTTAGTGCATGACACACCTAATGAATATATAATGAATTACCTGGAGTCAATTCTAGCTCTTCTTTATAACTCTAGCTCTTACTGTGAACTGAAAGAGGGGCTGGAATTTACCGTAAAGAAATCTATTTTTGATGAGGCTGAGCTGGAAATGATACAGAGACTTTATGACCTGCCTTTATGACCTACATCAGCTGTGCATTCAGTGACTCAGAGTTAGACAATATACGCCAGTGTCACTCATGAAGTAAGGCTAGTGGTAGTTCTCTTCTTAAAATATAATTACTATTACCTTCCGTGAGTAGAGTTCAATTTATGTTTTTTTTAAAGCAAAAAAGTTTTTTAAAAGCAATAAAGCAACTGTTGTTGTTTTTTTGCATTTGTAAAAAATGAAGGGATCTGTACTTTAACTAAAATAAAATTATTAAAATTAGCAGTTATTACAAAAACACTTAAAATGTCTGCATTGACCTTAAAAATGGTGATCATGAGCTGTCCCACTTCACTGACATTGCACTTCTCTCTGAAATATATTCATCAAAAACCTCCAGTAAGACCACAATGACACTGGGCCTCATTCACCAATACCTTCCTATGTTGTTTCTTAAATTTGTTCTTGAGAAAAAGTCTCTGTCAGACTCCTCAGAATTGTTCGCACCTTTGTGTTTTTGAGTGTGCATAGATACGGTTCTTACCCAAGAACAAATCCCAAATAAGAAAACATTGGTTAATGTCAGAGTTTTATGAAATGTAAGTGGGTTTTAAGAAGAAATCTCTTCACAGGAACGGTCGGTGAATGAGGCCCATTGTTATTTGGTTCATGTAGAAGCAATTTATGTTAAAAGAATGATTTTTTTCCTAATAATTTATTTAATTTAATAAAACCTGTGTCCCACATTTTATGCACAACCCTGTGTCACCTGAACTGGTTCCCTCCCATAAAAACCATTTACTATGCTATATACAGGAATTTGCCTCATTTTCTGCAGAATGATCATCAGACAAGTCACTATTCTCATTCTGCTTTCTCCATGGCTGCAAAGGGAAAGCATTCAGCTCTGTTATCAAAATATTATTGATAGAAAAAAGAATTTTTATTTTTATATATATTTTAAAATGTATGTAAACTATTTGGTTATTAGTAGTTGGTATGCAACCTGTGCACCGTCAAACTCACCACTCCTGAATGCTGCTTGTTTTAGGCTAAATTTGCAACCTTGTTGCCCATTATTAACCTTCAATTATTTCAAATAAAAATGAAATGAGAATGGCTTGATTTTAGAGATTTTAAAGAAAAGATTTAACAGTTTGATTAAAACATTTTTTTCAATTTTCCCTTCTGCTATACTTTTTTATACTATTTTTTTATTGCATCAACATCAACTAAATATGGAATATGATCTCTGTGTTCAACAGTGTTCTCGCTTCAACTCCTTTACCAAGATTTCAACCCTGTTTTTCAGTCATTTTTGGTGAAAGTAGTATTAAAACATTTAATTTTGGAAGTTATATTAGCAGAAATGTCAATTTGGTAACAAGAGTTAGTAGTTAACATTACTAATACGAGAGAAGATGCTCTTTTCTTTTATTTAGAGTGAAAAGCTGTATCCACCATCATTCCAACACGAGAAGCGGTCTTTATTAAACACCGGGGCAGAAAGGCACGTACACAGCACTGAACTCAGAATGGAGGTCACCACTAGCCACAGGCTTCAACCCGATAATAGACCAACCCCCAACACAAAACACATTAACAGCCCACATCCCTGACACAGAATAACGCAATAAACACACACATACCTTAACCCAATGACCAACAACATAAACAACAACAAGAAGTCCCTTTTCCAGAGGGCATGCGCCTCCCATGATCCTCCTGATGTGGCGAAAAGCATGGCCACGCCTCACAAGCCTTAGCAGCAGGTTGCTACATAACCCTTCCTTCAAAGCTTGATCGCCCCAGTGACTCAGCAGCTCGAGCTAAGTCACTAGATGTGCGCAGTCCTGGCCAGACAAACACCGTCCTCGCCATCGCAGCTCCTCCTGTGTGTTTTTAAACTTCATCATATCCTGAGCAACCGGAGACAACGGCAGCAACAATGGCACTCCACCTGGCTGAACACTGCTCATGTGCGCTGGGGCTCCACCTCCGCTGCTGGTGACAGACCTGACCTGGACGGTGGTCACCTCTCTCGGTGTGTGCAAGCGCCTGGACATCGACAATCAGCAAGCTTACGACGGCAAACACGATGAGCTGTCTGCCGCCCATGCTGTATTCAAACCGCAACCCATGGCCGCCGCTGAACATCTCGGCCTGCGTCCGTCTACCTGCCGCCCCAAGGTCATGCCATGTGTGACACTCTCTTTCTCTTAAACACCAACTCATCAACTTCTCCCCTGCTTGCTGCTGCGCTCCCAAGCTAAAGCCTTTGCCAGTTTAGTTTTTGCCAGCACTACCATCGCACTTTGCTGTCCTGTCTTCAGCCTCAAACACATTATCATAGTCTTTTGTAACCCAGTTCCACTCCAGACATTGGTGGGTGCTATCCCACTCCTTCACCAGTATAGTGATGAAGGTAGGCCATGATTCCAATGCAAGAAGCACTGTTTATTAAACACCAGAGCAGAAAGCTACCTGCAAGGCGCTAAACTCTCAGGGGAGGTGAACACTAGCCACAGGCTGTACCTTGATGGTAGATCAAACCCCAGCACAAAACACATTAACATCCCTCATCTCCTGACACAGAAAAACACAATAAACAGATACACACACCTCAACCCAGTAAACAATGAAATTAACAACAATAAGTCTTTTTCCGGAGGGCGCAGGCCGTCTGTAGTTTGGACACAAATTTTCCTCCTGGTGTGGCCTCATGAGCTTTTAAAGGCCAACGGCAGCTGGGAGCAGGTTGCCACAATGTGTAAGAAATATAAACACCACATGAAAACTTTGGATTTGTATTGTTTGAAAAGTTGCTAGAAAATAATGAACTCAGTCGACACAGGCTTATAACTACCATTTAACAGGCTCTAAAAATGGTGGGGTTGCAGAAAATGCTGTACATTTCAGAAAAAATAGCTCATATGGTGTCTGATTTGACAGCCTAAGGTGGGAAAATAACATTTAATCTGAAGGTTAAGCACTTTCATTGATTAATGATTGATTGAGAGTTTTGAGGCCTTAAATGAACTCTATCCATGGAAAGTGCCTACTTCTCTAATAGCTTGAATGCCATATGGATCTGGCCTTGTACACCGAAAGGGGCATTCTGGTCTTAAACTGGAGTTACATACTTACAATACGTTATTGGATGAGTTGTGCAGTGTTCTGTAGTGCAGCATGGTATCCTTCAACACTGTTAATTTGAGAGAATTCTCAATTTGATATTTTTGGTCTTCAGTGGTCTGCCACTACAATACCCAGCATGCATTATGAAAATACTTCATACAACCATTAGGAATCTCTGTGGTGTCAACCAATCCTTTAAATCAAATTATTGTAGAAACTAAGGACAGTAGTAAGCTTTTGAATTACTATAACTAGATTTACGAAGATAAACTTACAAAACAGGCTTTTTCTCCTGTATGTGAGTATTTGTGTGTATGTATGTGGATCTGTATGGTATGTATGTTAATGTATATATTATATATAAAAACACAGAGATCATATCTTTACCTGTGTTGATATCTTAGTTTGCTTAGATGGTTTGAAAATATTGATTTCATATTCTGGTTTGGTGCTGCCTGATCTTGACCTGATATTGGTTGTACAGTCGTGGCCAAAAGTTTTGAGACGGACACAAATTTTGGTTTTCAAAAAAATTTGCTGCTTCAGTGTTTTTATATCTTAGTCAGATGTTTCTATTGTATGCTGAAGTACAATAATAAGCATTTAAGTTTTTTAAACAATTATTGACAAATACATTAAGTTTATGCAAAGCATTTACAGTGTTGACCTTTCTTTTTCAAGATTTCTGCAATTCGGCCTGGCATGCTGGATATCAGCTTCTGGGCCAAATCCTGACCGATGGCAACTCATTCTTACCTAATTAGTCCTTGGAGTTTCTCATAATTTCTGTGTTTTTGTTTGTCCACCCGCTTTCTGAGGATTGACCACAGGTTCTTGATGGAATTGAGATCTCAGGAGTGTCCTAGCCATGGACCCAAAATTTCAATGTTTTGTTCACTGAGCCACTTAGTTATTGCTTTTGCCTTGTGACGTGGTGCTCCATCATGCTGGAAAAAGCATCGTTCGTCACCAGATTGCTCCTGGATCGTTGAGAGAAGTTGCTCTTGGAGGATGTTTTGATATCATTCTTTATTCATGGCAGTGTTCTTTGGCAAAATTGCGAGTCAGCCCACTCCCTTGGATGAGAAACCATGTGGGGGACATGGTCTCAGGATGCTTTACTGTTGGCATGACACAGGACTCGTGGTAGCGCTCACCTTTTTTTGAAGGGGGCTTCATTAGAGAAAATAACTTCACCCCAGTCCTCTGCAGTCCAATCCCTGTACTTCGTGCAGAATGTCAGTCTGTCCTTGATGTTTTTCTTGGAGAGAAGGGGCTTCTTTGCTGCCCTTCTTGACACCAGGCCTTCCTCCAAAAGCCCTCGCCTCACTGTGTGTGCAGGTGCACTCACACCTGCCTGCTGCCATTCCTGAGCGAGCTCTGCACTGGTGTTGACCCAATCCCATAGCTGAATCCACTTCAGGAGACGGTCCTGGCACTTGCTGGACTTTCTTGGGCACCCTGAAGCCTTCTTCACAGCAACTGAACCTCTCTCCCTGAAGTTCTTGATGAACCAATAAATGGTTGATTTAGGTGCAACCTTACAAGCAGCAGTGCCTTTCCCTGTGAAGCCCTTTGGATGCAAAGCAATGATGACTGCACATGTTTCCTTGGAGGTAACCATGGTTAACAGAAAGAAACGATGATTTCAAGCACCACCCTCCTTTTAAAGCAACCAGTCTGCTCTCCAATTCAATCAGCATGACAGAGTGAAATCAGCTGCCTTGTCCTCGTTAACACTTTCTCCTGAGCTGACAAGAAGATCACTGAAATGATGTGAGCAGGTCATTTTGTGGCAGGGCTGAAATGCAGTGAAAATGGGCTTTTTGTGATTAAGTTCATTTTCATGGCACGGAATGACTTTGCAATTAATTGCAATTCATTGCAAAACACTCTTCATAACAATCCAGAGCAGCAAACTTTGTGAAAACCTAAATTTGCGTCAGTCTCAAAACTTTTGGCCACGACTGTACATTGGCACAATTCTGCATGCTCTATGTGTATAATAATATGTATAATAAAAATTATAATACATTAAAAAAAAGTGTCAACCAATCTTGCTTGCTAGCCAAGTCACTGCTCTATAGGCTAAAATTACAATAAACAACACCTCACCCCACAAAGAACACCTCACAGTACATTCACATACAGTGTTCATTAACACTGATATAAATAAAACCCTTGGCTTCTTTTGGAAATGAGCTACAGAGCACAGTTTAGTGGAGTAAAGTGTAAACCTAAACTCTCTGTAACATAACGTCCTCTATACGTATGCGCTTTACTCAAGAAACTACTGAGATTATCCCGAAATAGAAAAAGACTCAGCTCAGACACACACACACACTCATATATATATATATATATATATATATATATACATATGTGTGTGTGTGTGTCACTTTATGGTGAAAGAGCTCTACTTCTAAATCATCTCAATCATGCAATAAGAAGCATCCGCCAGCAGAGGGCGCAATTCAGCCTTCATTCATTTCATATTCACAATTAAAATCACTGTAATCATAAATATAATTCCGTTTAATCCATTTATTTCTACAGCTAAATAATGTTTTTTACTGCACACTAAGAGGAGCTCTTCTGCTTTGGATAATGATAATGAATAAAGTTACAACATAGTACGATATAACACAACGTGCCATAATATACATTGTATAATATTTGTGTTACATATTAGAGCATGTTTAAAATGTACTATTGCACTTTGGATACAGTTTGACGTACATTCATATAATATTTCAATTTAACCTCTTAGTTCAGTAATCTTGGCCAATAGCAGCCAGACACTGCTCAGATCTAACCAATCACAGTGCAGGATTCATCCGCCCGCCCATCACGCGTTTCCCAGGAAGTGCTGGATGCACACAGACTCTGATCTCGCCACTGGAAAGGTTTTATTCTCTTTTTTTGTTATGGATTATTCTCTTTAACTCTTTGCATGTTTCTCATAACCGTGTTTCGTGGCTTCTTCAGCCACATGTTAACAGGGTTGAGCAGAAGCGCGCGATTAGAGCGGGATCGAGTTTACATGCCTGCCATGTGTGATGCAGTCAGTGTGGTTGAGTCTGAGCTGTTCTGTGGATACAGGGCGAATAGATCAGTCTTAGTCAAGTTCATCAGTGTTACATGCCGAGCATGACTCATTACTACGAATCAGCATTTAAAATGGTTGAGGTGGAAACAAAGTGTAAACAGAGCCACCCAGAGGGGTCTGGTGTGAAATGCTCCTCTCTACACCCTTAAAAAAGGCAGTGGTTCTATTTAGAATCATGAGATCTGTATAGAAACATTTCATGTTTAAGTGGTTCTTTGCATTGTGAAATGGTTCTTCAGATTGATGGAGAGTGTGTTACTTATGGCTGCATATAGAACCTTTTTGAAGACGGTCCTATATAACACCAAAAGGGGTTCTTCTGTTGTTACACGCTTTGACATTATAACAGTATAAGAAGTCGTTTTGGTGCTATGCAGAACCATATCATGTCTAAATGGTTCTTTGCATGGTGAAATGATGCTTTAGACTGATGGAGAATGTGTTATAAGTGGTTATATCTTCTATTGTCTACAAGAACACTTTTTGATGCTATATAAAACCATTTTCAACCAGGTTTAATATAGACCAATATACAGCACATTCTCCATTAACCTCAATAAACTTTTCACAGTGCAAAAAAACCTTTTAAGGATTAAATGGTTCTTTATAGAATTCATGGTTTTAAATAGAACAATTGCTTTTACTATAGAACAATGAGTGTGGAGGAACTTGCCGAGTCAGAATGGTTCACAGTGGTGGTGATAGGAACCAGACGTCCACCTTGAAAAGCTCCCTCACAGAATGTTATTACATGAAAAGGTTATGAATTCACTGCCTCATTTGTGAGATTGTTTTATGATTTAAGTTTTGAACTACAGTGTTTTTACTCATAATAGCATTGAGGTACATGCAGGGTGTTGTAATGCAAGATAGTCCCCACAGAAAATGTATTTTTTTCAGATTTATACTCTTTTGCCACCATCAACATTACATATAAAAGCTCAGACGTTGGGTTACTGGTGGTGGCTATATTTGTGTTGTTGACATCACAGGCCCTGGTTCTGATCATCACCAATGTGTGGTTTACAACCCCATTTCCAAAAATAGTACAAAGACAACATACTAAATGCTAAAACTGAGAAATTTGATTTTTTTTTAATATATGCCCATTTTGAATTTAATGGCAGCAACACGTTCCAAAATAGTTGGGACGGGGGCCTGTTTACCACTGTGTTTCATCACCTCTTCTTTTAACAGCACTCTTACAGCGTTTGGGAACTGAGGAGACAAATTGGTCTGGAGTGTGCATTTTGTTTTCATTTACATTTTGCACAGTGTCCCAACTTTTTTGGAAACGGGGTTGTATGATTTATGCAAAAATTTTGAAAAATCTGTGAAATTCCCCTTTTAAGATGCATTAGCAAAGATAAGTTGGGCCCTCAATCTCACCTCACAGATGTTTAGCTGTTGAACTGTCAAATACATGTCTGATTCTGTATGAAGTAATTAGTACTTAGTAATGAGTGCTAGAAGAATATATCGCTCTATGGTAGTATGGTGGTATGTCATTGTGGATGCAGCCATAAGAACAAGTTTTACATTTTTCCTAGAACAATTTGTGCTTCAATGGCAAGAGTGGAACAAACATGATGTTAATCACAGTCTCTCTTTTTCTCTCTCTTTCAGGCCTCTGGCTTCACAACAACATTTGTTTACAATGAATACCAACTTAGCAGCTCACACGTACGTCATCACTGGTGGAGGAGGTTATTTCGGATTTCGGTATGTTACTCTGACAGTGGTGTAACGTACAGTGGCACCAAAAAATACTCCGCAAAGTATTATTTTAAAAGGCAGCCGATGTGTTTTAACTCAATATTTCTTTACGGACTTCTGCAGGTTTTCCCGCTGTAAGAAAAACAATCTCAGATATTAAGTTTTCCAACTTTGTGCTCTGTAAAACATTTAGTTTAGTCTGGTTGGAATTCTTCTCCAGACTTTACCACACCATCAGTGTCCACCATCAGCCTGACGTGTTTTTAAACACTTTATTAAGTAACCTAAAGAACTTCATTAAACGTTTACTGTAAAATTGTTAAAGTGTCCATATACTTTTGGGGGCCACTGTATTTCACATTCATCGCTTGGTACAAAATTTAAATACAGTCACTCTGCAACATTAAGGCCAGCATTTGGTACTAGCCAAGGCCTTTGAACTTCACAGTAACTTACAATACATTGTCTCTTAGTAAAATCAGAGTTGAAGGTCCTGTTCGGAGCTTAAAGATCTAAAATAAGGCTGATGCATTTGATGTTTTAATTGTTTTTACTTTGTGAATGGTGGTATGTTCTCTCTTTAGGTAATGGCAACTAATGCAGAATCTAAAAGCGCCACTAGAGGGCGACATCAACCTGATAAATGTGTTTTTAGGGGGCAAGTTGTATTCTCAGGAAATGCAACTTGTTGCATTAATTATTCAGTGAAGTTGGTTGCAATGTAGTTTCATAATGCTACTTTGACTCATGAGAACAAATCCAGCGCTGAATTAACTGGATCACTTGTGACGCTGGTATGTGATTGCTCAATAGACCACGCTATCATTACTTTACTACACATGCCACATACTTCTCATTCCTTCAGACTTCATTTTAATCACTAATTGTCTAAATTTAGACTTCCTGTGCACATTCTCGTGACTACATATCTTACATAATAGCAGTTAATGAATAATTCATAGTAGTTATTGTGTAATAAACCCAAAGGCAGATAACTGAACAGCAACTTTAGCATTTACATATTAATGAACACCGATTTTTCCTGTCCTGTTTTTCAAACAAAAGACTTAGTATGTTGTATGTAAACATGGGTAAATTTTCTAATTGTCCTGTTCACTGCCCACTCCATGTACAGACGGTCCACATGTGGAAATTAAGCTATAGAAACGGCCACTCACACTGAAGTTAGAAGGAGTGTATCAGCCTGGACTGCTTTTGAATGAGATAGAATACAGGACAGCCAATCAGAACAGAGCTCATTTACGTATATCAGTCTTAAAGGCACAGTAACAAAAACAGCCTGTTAATTCTAAGAGATAAAGAGTGGTTGGAAAATGAATCGTGACACTTCAGGTACATAAAACATTTCAGTAAGGTGGCATGTTTTACTGTCATATTACACCATATTTACCTGTCTTGCGTCTTTGTTTATTTGCTTGCGTGCAGTCTTGCTTGCACCCTCCGCAAGGAATCGTCCAGAATCCTCCTGTTTGATGTGAGGCCTCCGAACGGGGTGTTGCCTGAAGGTGTGGAGTTTGTACAGGGTGATGTGCGGGACTACGCTCAGGTGGAGAAGGTTCTGCGAGGAGCGGACTGCATCTTCCACATCGCCTCCTACGGGATGTCGGGAAGGGAGCAGCTCAACAAGAAGCTCATCGAAGAGGTGAACATTCAGGGAACTGAAAACGTCCTCCAGGCCTGCGTGGCTCTTGGGGTCCCACGCCTGGTGTACACCAGCACTTTCAACGTGGTCTTTGGTGGTCAGGTCATAAAGAATGGTGACGAGACGCTTCCCTACCTTCCCTTACATCTCCATCCAGACCACTACTCCAGGACCAAGTCGCTAGCAGAGATGCGGGTGCTAAAGACTAACGGTGCACCGCTAGCAGGTGGATGCGGGATCCTGCGGACTTGCGCTTTGCGTCCGGCTGGAATTTATGGCCCAGGGGAGGAGAGGCACCTTCCGAGGATTGTGAGATACATAGAGAACGGCCTCTTTAAGTTTGTCTATGGGGATCCCGACAGTCTGGTGGAATTCGTTCATGTTGATAACTTGGTTTCTGCGCATGTGCTAGCTGCAGAAGCACTCACGGAGAAACGCCATCACCGTGCTGCTGGACAAGCCTACTTTATTTCAGATGGCCGACCAATCAACAACTTTGAGTTCTTCAGACCACTAGTGGAGGGTCTGGGTTACTCTTTCCCCAAGCTACGCCTTCCAATATCTCTCATTTACTTCTTCGCATTCCTCACCGAGATGGTACACAGCGTGGTCGGCCGTGTCTACAACTTCCAGCCCCTACTGACCCGTACTGAAGTCTACAAGACTGGGGTCACCCACTATTTCAGCATGGACAAAGCCAGGGCCGAACTGGGCTATGACCCCAGAGTATATGACCTGAAGGAAGCGGTGGAGTGGTTCAGGAGCAAAGGACATGGGAGAAAGCATGCTGCTTCACCGGTGAAGAAGCTGATCCTCGATGCGTTGTTGTTTGTTGTCATTGGGGCATTAATACTGTCCTTTCTGCCAGTGGTGGGGCAATAAGGGCAGCATCAACAACATAGTGATACGGCTGGTATTTGGACCTGCATCCAGTATGAAGTAGGGCTGGAACTGTTGATCATTCTTATAATTGATTACTCTATCAACTAGTATTTGATTAATTGACTAATTGAGCCATTATGGCTTCTGCAGCTTCTTGTCATTTTGCCCATCACCGTTCATAGAATGCAGATGAAACAACAGAAGCCATATTGCCCCCTACACTTCCGGTAGTGTATTGCAACCTGTCAGTATGACTGTGTGGATCATATGAACGTTGTAGAGGATTAAGGAGTTTTTATTTTTTAATGAAACAATAAAAGCGATATTGCCCCCTACTCTTCCCGCAGTGTATTACAATCTGTGGCAATGACAATGTGTCATAGGAATGTTATGAAGCATTATAGAGTATGGATGTTATAATTTTTAAATATTCAAATTGTCTTGAAAGAAGAAATTTATAGTAAATTAGGATTTTTAATAAAATTGGATTCTGTCTCCTATGTTCTGTCTTCGTAATGAAGAACCGTGAGATGTCTCTTTGAGAACAGTGAAGAACCTGTCTTACATTGTGGTCAGAGTTGCTTCGCTTAAAGAAGGGAGAATGTTATTACTGCAGCCGGCTAAAAGCTAGAAGATCCACACCAGGTAGCAGGTGAATAACGATGTGGCTAAGCTAGTTACCTTAGCTGAGGTGAAAACAGACACTTAGTCAGCTTGTCTGCTTCTTTTAAAGCTTATTTTTAAACAAAGTTTGCGCGATGCTGGAACCACCTTCACAAGCCTGCAAGCTCGCATACACTCTGCGCTTTCATGTTTTACACTAACCAAACGCAAGATTAGTGCGCAGTGTGTTCATCCATGGGGTTTGTTCAGCAGCCATGAGCGTGACACGGGGAACGAAGAATATGATGTAATTACAGTGTCGTAATTGCATAATTGTTTTTCTCTGTTGGTTTTCTCTGTTTGAATATTAGTAACAAAAACAGCCTACTTAATTTTATGGATTGGGAAATATGTCAAGAAATGAATTATAACATAAAACCTCTCAAATGATGTAGGTGGACTACAGGAAAATATATAACATGCAAAAAATGTGGGATATGGGCCCTTTAAATATAATCAAATAAAATAACAGTAGGTACAATGTCCCATTTAGTTGCCTTAAACATTCCTCAGAGATGAAAAAACTAAAATCTGGAATAGTGAAACAGTGGAATAGACGGACGGTACAGAATCATTTTCTGTTGTCCAGAATGGTGTTTCATGTATTTTGGTTAGTTCAAATCCACATTTTGTGGTCACTGTAAATTTCAAGCTAGTGTTCTGTGACCAAAGCTTTCCATTAGTATGATCACTAAAATGTACATCAAGCTCACCAGTCTGTCAGTTGCACAAACAGACAGCAGTTCACTTCCTGAATGTGCTTGTAAGGTGTAAAGTAAATTTTTTACAGTTTACCTTCTCCACTGAAATATCTGCTCCTCCTCATGTTGATCTTTGTCTATTTTAAGACAAGAAATCATCGTATCTTCAACAATAAAGTTTTACAGAACAACCTGAGCGTCACCTTTTTTCCTTTTCCTTGCAGTGACCTAAAAAGCATTCATCCTGACAGGGGCTGCACGTGAAACTGATACTGGGAATGTTACAATAGGAGGACATGTGGAAAAATGAAAAGTAGTTATTCAAGCATAACATGATAAGCATTTTAGAGAAGTGTAAAAAGAGAAGCACAAAGACAAAATAAGAGGGCTTCATTGTTTTGAAGCACTACACATTGTATTTTGGTGAGTAAATGCACCATACAAAGGAAGTTACTACAGTATTTACAGGGAGAACAAATAGATACATGTCTGTTTTTCTTTACAAACTGAACAAGAATATTGAATATTCAAGAACACAGTCTGAGTTCCCTTAGGTGTAAACCTTGTCACTTAAACAAACTTGTGTGTTACCCTTTTCCCCAGCTAGGCAAAGGCCATCCTGCCTTATGACCAGTGGACAAGACTAAATGCTTGTATTTAGCCATTTTGTATTAGAAACTATTGTCAGTTAATTACATGACCAATGGAAGTACAACATGCATTGCTAGTTACCAAAAGCTTTGATACAGTCAGAAACGTGGCTACAAGAAGTTTTGTTTTGAAGTATAAGAAGTTTGATTTGCTCAAAATGTTCCTGTTAGCCAAAAAAACATCATCAACAGTTATTTATCCAGGTTTGTTTATTTTCCTACGCTTATAATGGTTGAACCACTGGCCACACAAAGTTGGTTTATTTGACTTTTCCATGGTCAACCAACAGGCAACATCAGTGCTGCCTTATTACCATTATACAAGCTAAAATAACCGTAATTAGCAGTTTTAAATCAGAAACTGTTGCCGACCAGTGAAGGTAGAACATGAGCTTTGCTAGTTACCAAAGGCCCTTTGTTTAGGCCTTATTTTCTCACTGTAAAAGTTTTAAGCACAGAAAGCCCTATTTGCTCAAAATGTTCCTGTTACAGATAGACAGGGCAGTCGGTCTGGTCATCAAAGGCCATTTCTCCAGGTTTTATTTTCCTACACTCTTAACAGGACCCTTTAGGCACACAGAGCTGGCTTGTTTGACTTTACCTTTCCATGGTTAACCACTAGACAAAGGTAATTCTGCTTATTACCAGTAAACAAGACACACTTGTGTTTAGCAAGTTCACACCAGAAGATGATGCCAGTCAATTCTATGCCCAGTGAAGGTAGAACATATGCTTTGCTAGTTACCAAAGGTTCTTGAATGAGGCCTTGTTTTACAGTCGGAAAGTTTTAACCACAGAAAGTCTTCTTTGCTTGAAATATTCCTATTACGCGCAGACAAAGCTGTCTGTCTGGCCATCAAAGGCTCTTTATCCAGGTTTTATTTTCCTACACCCATAATGCTCGACGCGTTGGCCACACAGACTTGGTTTATTTGACTTATTTGACTTCTTTTTTCCATGGTCAACCAATAGGCAACATCAGTGCTGCTTTATTACCATTAAACAAGCTAAAATAATTGTACTTAGCGATTTTAAATCAGAAACTGTTGCCGACCACCAAAGGTAGTGAACGTGCTTTGCTAGTTACCAAAGGCCCTTAATTCAGGCCTTACTTTCTTACTATCAAAGTTTTAAGCACAGAAGGCCTTTTTTGCTCAAAATGTTCCTGTTATAGAGAAACAGAGCAGTTTGTCTGGTCATCATGTTTTTTTTTCCTACGCTCATAGTGCGACTCAGCGGCCAGCCAGAGTTCGCTTCATCTTTCAATGGTTAACCACTTTATTTCCAGTAAACAAGACATTATTCTTGTGTTTAGCAAATTCACACCAGAAACTGATGTCAGTCAGTTCTATGACCGATGATAGTAGAACATGCGCTTCGTTAGGTTCTTGATTCAGGCCTTGCAAGTTTTGAGGTGGGATCATCAAAGATCCTTTATCCAGGTTTTTATTTGCCTACACTCATAATTGGCCAGACAAAGTTGGTTTATTTGATTTATTTCACATTTTTGCATTGTTAACCATTAAGCAACATCGCTTTACCAGTAAACAAGATAAAATAACTGTAACTAGAAGTTTTATACCAGAAACTGTCGTTGACTCCTGAAGGCAGAACATGTGCTTTGCTAAGGTACCAAAGGTCCCTAATTCAGGCCTTATTTTCTCGCTATCAGAAAGTTTTAATCACAGAAAGTCTTATTTGAAGTGTTTCTGTCACAGATAGACAGAGCAGTCTGTCTGGCCATCACAGGTCCTTTATCCAGGGTTTATTTTGCTGCACTCATCATGGTCGACCTGTTGGCCACACAGAGTTCGGCTTATTTGCTCTGCTGGACAGAGCAGTCTGAATCCAGCGGGCGCTGGTCTGTTTAGTTCAATCTTTAAATCTTTAATCTCGCCCCGGTGCATGAAAGTTGGACACACACACACACACACACACACACACACACACACACACACACACGCACACACACACACACACACACACACCCTCTCTAAAGGAGTTTTTTATTTAGTCAGGACCCCCTTGCTGAGTTGGTGGCAGTCATTGTTTCTCTCAGGCATTAAGCGCATACCAAAGCGCCGCAGCGCACCTCCGCCGTCCACCTCCGCGCATTCCTCCCTTCGCGACCTAGTCCCTCCCTCCGCCTTTCGCTTTCGTCTCGCGCTTTCCTCTCCTCCTTCATTCGTCCCGACGACTCCCTACCGATAAAACACTCCGCGCGGAAAAATTACCCCACTCATATTTTCAAAAAACAACGTTTATTTGTATTTCTTTCAAAATAAAGTCTGTGGAGAAACTGCCCCCCCCTCCCGCTCCAGAAAAGAGTGAGAGAAATTCCTCCGCGCCGCGCGCGCCGTTGACTGCGAGAGAAGCTTTCAACTTCCACAGAAAAGCTGAAATCTGACAAACGGAGAAAAAGAGAGCGCGAGGAGGAGGAAAACTTTCGGTAAACGACCGTTTTTGTGTCATAAACCGGAGGGGGAGCATGTGAACGCTACCGGGACCAAATCGCCACAGCGAAAAGAGGGAAAACGCGACGATGGCTGCGTTTTGTTGTGATTTCTGTGTGAAATGCTAATTTGCTAATTTGTCTCTCTCTCTCGCTCTCGCTCTGCGCGCTCTCGCTCTTCAACCGCCGTGGCTCGCGCTCCCCGCTCTCTCCGGTTTGAGCCATGCACCGCTACGGTGATGATTTGGGCCACCGGGCGAGCAAGCTGGTGGAAAACCTGTCGATATACGACTCGTACGGGGACGGCGGCGGGAGAGCGGACATCGGCGGGCTCGAGACCGATTTTTCTCCCGCTGCCGTGATGCTGCTGCACGGGATGAAAAGTAACGTGAAACGCGCGAATGGAGGCGGAGGCGTGGACGCAGCTTACATGACTGGGACTAACGTTAAAGTGCACAGCGCGGCACCGCTGCCCGTACCTGTACCGTCTGCCGTGCGCACCGTGAACGGGACCCGGACAGCGCCGCCGCTGGACCTGTGCTCGCCGGTAACGTTACGAGACGGAGCTCACGCGGACGACGATGATGAAGGAGGCGGAGGCGGCGGCAGCTTCTGCGCGCGGTCTGAAGTCGCGCTGCCGTGCTACGGCGGCGGAGACCGGCACCGGCGATACTCACCGCAGGAAGCACACGGTCTCCGCTACGGCACGTATGAGTCACCGGGACCGGGGAAGCAGCTGTGCCGGAACGGAGCGGGCAGCAGCACGAACACGGGGGCGACCACGAGCCCTCGTTCGAGCTGCAGCAGCGGCGGTAGCCCGCGCAGCAGCGTGCTCGTGCCGGGGCAGCAGCAGCAACAGGAGAGGTACG